TCATGGGCTTGCCCTCCAGACAGGGCACTATAACCGTGGTTATTTCTAACATTTTTATTCGATATTGACACTTGTTTTAAATATTCTAAATTTAAACTCTTCGTTGATGATCTTAAATAATTATCCTATACTAAATTATAATCGAGTAGAAGACTGCTTAATGCTGAAAGACGATCTGGATAGAATGATAGAACCCCTGAATTGTGTACCGAAAATGGTTTAAGTCTTAATGTTCCCAAATGTTCAAAGGTATCATTTCATAGAACTAAAAATAAAATAGCATTTGATTATTTAATAGTGCAGAGTATACGAGAATTCGGTATTTCATTTCAATCTAATATCCAATTTTCCACCCATATCGACCAGATTTATATGAGTAGTCTTAAAGCTATAAAAACTCTTGGCTTTTTATTTAGACCTATCAAATTTTTCGATGACAATATGACATTAACTGTCACAGAGCTCTTTTTTGCGCCTCAGTACGACCCCTATCTCAATAAGAGGAATAGTAAAATATCAAATGTACACGTTAGACGTGTACGTTAGGTACGAAGTACCTGTTTCGGCTCAGTTTGAATTTGAATAAATTTATAAAAAATAAACTAGTGGACTGTATAATTGAATTAGCTACAATGTGTGTAACAATTTATTGATAATGATTTTTATAATAAACACTATTTTAATTGTTCTAAAGATATGTGATTAATAATTATTACATTACGTCACGTATATCGACCGTATCGATCATTCTGTAAATATACAGGGGGGTAAAAATCGCCTGTTACGATAATCGATTTTTACTTCAGGTGATTTTTACCCACCACGGTAAAATTTGTTGGTGGGTAAAAATCGCCTGTTAGGTTAGGCGATGTTTACCTCAGGCGATTTTTACCCCCCCCCCCTGGTAAAATATACAGGGGGGTAAAAATCGCCTGTTACAAGTGAGGCGAGTCAGAAAGGAATTTAGGAATAATTTAGATTCACAAAATTCCAATATTTTAACTACCTATATAGGTACCACCGACAGCCGTTCAAAAATATCGATTGGATCTCAACAGACGCAGTTTTGCCAAGATCACAGCGAGTAAGCACGTACTTCATTATAAAATGATTAAACATCGTACTAATTGAAATATTATATACTTACTAGGTATTCAGTATTTTTCCCGAATAAATAACATATAATACCTATGTATTTATGTAGAAGATATCTATTGGCTATATAGCCTTTATTGTATTCCCATAACGACCATTTTGTAAACTAAATATTAAACCTTATTCATTCGATGTATCTATACTATAAACATTTGTTATTACAGTATTTCAGCATACATCGTGTCTTGCGTTCTAAAACGTCCTATATGGTTTCTAAATTGAAACCTTTTGTCTTTTGCTGTTAACTTTTGCTGATCGTTCAGATTAATAATGAAGACTATGATAATTATAGTGGTTAACAGAATTTCGCTTGTTCTCGTCAGTAAGTAAAATCATATGTATACTTATTATTTATAGTAAACTACTCGGCTTATTAGGTACAGTGGCGTTCTCAGGAATTTTAAATGGTATAGGAGGGAGTTGTAAATAATTTCTAGAAACAATATTTATAGGGGGTATCGGAGCACAAAAAATACGACCAATGGGGGGGAGGGGTTGAATCCATTGTGGCTTAATATTTTTAGAATATAGGCAATATAATTATAAAGATCTAACGGCAATCTTCACTATTCTTTATTAATAATAATTATAATTATTATTTTTTATTTATTTCTTATATTATATTATTCTGTTTAGATTTTAATGGTTCGTAATTTAATAAGTAGGTAACTAGTAATAACTATTTAAGGAATGTTAACGCGGATCGATTGGGTACCTACCTACGGGCCACGACACTATCCACAGTTAAGTGAAAGAAACAAGGCCATTCAATTTTTCAAATAAATAAAACACTATAATGGTATTTATTTTTTATATCTTATGTTTGTATAAACTTTGGACTATATAGTTTAATGCGTTATTATTAGTATTTATCTCAATTATTTTCAATTAGGTATAAAATAGGATTTATTCACAGTTTTCGTGATGCCATGTTTAAAATTTAAATACCTACTTTAAACGACTGGAATGGGCAAATATTCCTTTAAGGCGACAATAACAAATATATGTAATCAAAATATTATCATCGTTTATTTACCTTAAAATGTTTTGAATATAATAATCGACCTATTTGGGATTAATTAACCATTTAATTAAATATATTGTACATAGAAATTATAATTATAATTAACTACACATTTTGGTCCAATTAATTATTATTTAATTTAAAAACTAATCTGTAATAGGTAATTACAATATAATTTTGATATACAATATTGTTCATTTTGAAGCTTTTCTATATTAGGTATGTATATTCATAATGAAAAATATGTGTTATTTATAGGTTTGTTTTGTTGTCATGGCTTAACGGATGGGATGACTTTGAAAGGTAGAAAAATAGAAGAAAATCCAAATTTTGTTGTCCTTTCTGTTGAGTCAAAATTAATGCCGATGGATTATCTAATTTCATTTTTTGATCCATCGATTACAATGTTGGACATTCCAAATAAATCGCTTGATCATAAATTTAAAATCAATAAAAGTACAGTTGCACCACTGATCCTTTATGAGACTTCGACCCAAATACCAGACCCAAATGGTGGTAAGAGGGTCATAAGACAAGCAGATACTACTGATGGTCTATTGACAAAGACCAACTTAACAAAGTCGGCTCATGACGTCTATAATAATACATTGAACTCAACAGCTGGTAAATTCAATACAACTTAATTTCAAAACAACTAGAACGTTTTATAATATATAAGTAACATTATTTTGATTTCTACAAAGTGTCTTCACTGGAGGGCTTCTTAAATCCGTCCTTTCCTCAAGCCACTTATTAAATTATCTATTTTACTTATTGTTCATTTTATTGTAACAGATTGTAAAAAAAAAAAATTTTTGATTTGTAATGTTATTACTTATTATAGTATTTTTAGTATTGTATAGTGTTTAGTTGCAGACAGGTCAACTTTAAGTTAAAACTTTTGTCTTTCGCTTTTTGCAATTTGTTATTTCGTTGAGATAAATCATGAAAAATATTGTGACATGTTAACTATCGTAGCGACAAACCCATTTAGGTAGGTACTAATAACATTACAAATCAAAATAATGTTATTTAGAACTTACATCATAGAATTTTCTGTTGTAAGTTACAACAGTAAATTATATAATGTGTTATACATTTTGTGTACATCACCAGACTATGCGACGATTAGATGTATGCATATTTTAATAATTATCAGTAATCAATATGATTATAATTATTTTTTAGAAAATTCTAATGAAATAAAAAAAATGCTACACTTTATTAAGTCAACTTTAAATAAGTATATCATAAGAAACGTATGGATTTTTTAATACCTAACTATCAATAAAATAATAATTAAATTTTTCAGAACATTCTATGGAAAAGATTGATCATATTATAAAGTTATACATACTTTGAGTGGCGCGACTAGCGGGTAAGTTAGCAAAGTGATACTTTGGGGCCCTTGATTTATCGGGACTTCCATAATTAAAATTGATTTTTAGCATTTTTTCAAATTTTCAAATTATTATTATTATTACCTATATTTTTTTACAAACGTCTACATTAAAATGAGTTGGTTATACTATATTACTATAATTACCTTACTATTATTTTAATAGTTATTGTTAATAGCATATGGATTAATATTGGATTACCTATATTACTAGGGGAGAGGACTTGTAGCTAAGTAATGAGTTACTTTTCTATTTAAAAAGTAAAGTAATTTTATTACAATTTTATTTGAGTAACGAGTTAAGTAACTTAATTACTTTTTAAAAGTAACTTACCCAACACTGTAATCATGTGAAATATTTAATTTTGAAATATTGCACCATATTATAATAAAATTTATTTTTTTTTTTAACACAATGTTCAGTGTTCTAAATTCTAATGTAAGAATTCAGTAGGTGTATAATATACATGTATAATATTGTATACCTACTTGTATCATTTAAACATTAGAATATTTAAAAATGTTGAATACCATTTTAAATGTATAATATCAAAGGTTAGGTACACATTTAGTTACCATACAAATTATATGAAGATGATTTATGACAATTATATGTAAATAAAAAACTTATTAAAAATAAAACAAAATTTATTAAAATACTGAAATATTTCACACATTTGATGAAACATTTCATGAAATATTTAATTTTTTTAAATTTATTGAAATTTTAAAACACTAATCAGTACAATAATAGTTATTTTTAAATAATTTTTCAGAACATTCTACAGGAATGATCGATACTATGTTAAACGGTGTTTCTAATTGTACATCTTACATTTTGACGATCAAAGGTATGAATGTTTTAATAATTATCAGTAAGTACAATAGGCAATAGTTATTTTTAAATAATTTTTTAGATAAGTCTATGAAAATGATTGATAATATGTTGGACGGTGTTTCTAAGCGGGTATCTTATTTGATGATCAAACGTATGTATTTTTTAATAGTTATCAGACCTACTTACAATAATAATTATTTTAAAATCATTTTTCAGATCGTAATATTAATCTAATACCAACAATTTGTGCTGGTGCGTTGATAGCAGTGTTCGTTGGTAAGAAAAATTGTTTGCCAGATATTTTTCATAACATTTAATTGATATTTATTTAATTATTTTACTGGTTGTAACTTATAAATACCTATTATAATCATAGGCGTGCGCACGGGGGCAGCAGAGGCAGCATATGCTGCCCCTGGACTTTCTTTGGGGCCACCGGGGCCGGCAAATATTAAATAGTGGGCCTAGGTAAAATTATATTCGCACAAAAATTTTTTTTTGTTTTGATAAACTATATATGAATATTTTATATAGGCTTGTAGAAAAGTACACCTATAGTGGCTTAGTACCTTACTATACAACCTTTTATTCAAAAAAAACAAATAACCAATACAATTTTAATTTTGATATCCAATAGTAAAAAAGTAAAACTATGGGCTGGTTTTAATGGTGAATTTGAAAAATGGGCCGAATTAATCTTTTGCTGCCCCTGAAACCGGAGGCTGCGCACGCCTATGATTATAATATAGATATTATTTATAGAATTTAAAATACCTAATATTTTAGTGACAATGGAAATATAAAATTGAAGGAGGAGGGCTGATATTTTTCTTTAAGACTACAAATATTATTTTATTTTATATACATTAAGGGCGGCTTCCCAAGTAACAGTATAACACGAATACAGCTTTAAACATGTGTGGTACCTGAGATATAAAGAGGGCTATATAAGCAAGTAACTTCCAAGTGTTTTAATTTTAAATGGATTATAAAAGTGAGGTGGGGAAGACTTTAGTCCATTTATATACGATTTAAAATTTTACTAAACTGTTCCTAAATCTTCAAAAATAAATATAGAGTTCAATCAAATATTTGTTCAGTACCTATTTAGTATTAACTACAAACATAAGTATCGAAATTAATAAATTGATTTTCTATATTATATTGAAGTGAAACTTCTTTACGCAGGGCAGTGAGGAAAAAACGAAATGTAACGTACTTGTTTAAAGTACTTAAGTAATTATTGTTTTTCAAAAAAATTATCGTACACCAACAATTTTTTTGCTTCAGTGCCCAGATTATAATACCCTGTATAGTATATAATATTATATGCGGCATATACTAACGCAAGTGTGCATTGTTGTCACATAGTCAACATTTTAGACTCGCATTACAACTCACCGATGCTTCGACCAGTACGAATTCTATATATAATATTATTACTATGAGCACGTATATCGCATTGGTATATGTTATCTCGTACCACTAATGGACTCCAAATACAAGACACTCGTTTTACATCATCCGTACAACAAGCGCATTATAATATTTATCGAACGAAGGTGGACTAGCTACCTAAACAGAGGGTTCAATTATCATAATTTGTTATTGCTACTTCTTCGACTCCCTTAACCCGTTGTGTTAGGGTACTACAACACGCGTATATAGTATATACCATGCTCCTCGTACAAAATATTTATACAGGGTGATTCTTTTATCAAACAACACTCATCATTTGAAAAGTATTGAAATTGTTGTTTGATAAAAGAATCACCCTGTATATACCATACTCATATTATGTTATCGTGACTTATACAAATAAATACACATACCGGCGTTTGTTGAAATTTGGTCGAGTTGTTTGATTCATTACCATGTGATTAGCCGGAAACGACTTAAATAATAATAGTGTGTGTAATGAATAGTTTGTAATAAATTTGTAGAATATTGTACTGACGTTCAAAATGTTTGTTAGTTAGCAGTTCGTTACTATTAATTAATCCAAAAAATGAAAGTAAGTAAGTAGTCTTGTTTTTATCCAGAAAAAATATTTGTGAGTGAATTTATTAATAATATCAAATAAAAAAAAATTAAGAGGTACAAGCGGTGAGAAGTAAGTGGTGGTCGTGAACTGCGTTAGTTAAGTGGCTTTTTTTTGCTGCGAATAAATATTATATAAACGTTACAAAATAAAAAACATATTCATCTATCTTGGCCCATACTAATTAATATGAATAATTAATGATCGATTATTATAGCATCTATAATAGCCCAATATCAGTTAGCATCTAGTATATTTAATCAATTGTTATTAATTGATTAATTCACTCACAAACCTTTTACCTGGATAAAAACAATACTACACACAATTATCCATCGATCTGTCGAATAAAAATAAAAAAATATAAAAGTATCAATAATAAATAATTCCGGATAACTTCCTCTCATTTTTTAAATTAATAATTATTAACTCACGTGTACCGTTCAAAAGAAGTTTCACTTCCCACTCGCGTACTGGTAACACACACACTTCTGTATTCTGTAACTAAAAACAGAAAAATATATGCTATTAAGTAAATAAATATTCTATAGACTGTTTTATATAAAAAAAAATATACGTAGGTAAACTAATAATATGCAAATTTAAACGTACCGTTATTGTAAATAAATACATTTTTTGTCTTATTTAACCTTCTATGTATCATGGCAATATTTGGGAGTTCATTTTTTTTATTTTATAAATCAATAAATGTTTTATTACAACATTAGTGTAGATCGATTTAATATTTTTTTCATATCCATAACTTGTAACTTTTAGCTCTCGAAAATATTCAAGCATTATAAGAAAAAAAATTTTAAAATAAAGTTTAGAAAAATGTATATCTATTTTCTTTTCAAAAACATTAAAATTTATTTTTCAAGGAATACTGCTGGTTTTTGCTGTAAGAGCAAATCAATTAAGGAACGCTGTGAATGCCGATCTGCAAATGCCTGCAGAAAATATCTGCATGTACATGGTGTAGAATGGGAACAATTTACTATGATTTAAAATTGAGATTACTATAATATAGTACGGTTTTCCAGTTTTTCAGCATGCTCATTGTTAAAACGTATGCGATTCAATGTTAAGTGTTTATAAAAAAATAAAAGGATATATTATGTATGTATATTTTGTATTTTATTCTTTTCACAATTTTGATAAATCTACAAAAAACATTGTCTTATATTTTGAGGTTTTTTTTCCGTAAATTGCTCAACATTGGCCACCATCAGTATTTCGACCTTTTTACGCTGCAATGACCCTCAGAGAAAATTGAAAGAGTACAAAGAAAATGTATACGATTTATAGGATATAATAAAAGATTATCCAATGAGCTTGATGACCCTGTTATTAAGTTCCTACAAAATAATTTAAAACTCGATTCTTTCCCAATCCGTCTCAAAATATTTAATATATGCAGCGTGTTCTGCACAGATAAATTTAAAATTATTTATAGATAAGATAATAGATAATGAGTTGAAAATGTATCTAGATAATATAACCTCCTTTTTATCTAGATAAAAAAACAGATAATTATAAAGTTTTTAGGTTTTTTAAAACTTTATAAATTAAATAATAATGTATACACATATTTACAAATTTTAGATTCTGAGTGGGATGATGAATGTATTGATTTCACAATGATGTGAGTTTTTCTATTTTTTTTTATTTTTGTATCTGTATATACGATAAGTAGTCGAAATAAAGTTTCAATTTTTAACTTCTGTATCTTGTTCGATTGGAAAGTGAATATTGTTGGTGCTTTAGGGATGTCAAAATTTAAAATTAACAGTAACTTTCAAAAGCGCCTAGAAAAACCAAAGAAAAATTAAGGAAAACTGTTTTTGAACTCTTTAGGGACATTTTCAGTTTCCCATTTTATTAGTTTTTTTTTCTATGAATGTCAATAAAACTTACTTTGTTGAGTAAAAATACTTGAAAATTGAATACAATAAGACTCCTACTATATTCTTACGATGACATTTGAAAAATATTAAAAATCCTTAGTTACAGTTTTTTTTATCATAATTTAAAGTTCAAAAATTGACAAAATATGGAAAAATCACGAAAAATAGCAAATTAATTTGAGTTAAGAATAAGTAAAAAAATTTTTAATTCCTTATAAGACTATCTACCTTTATCAAAAAAAAAAAAAAAAAAATGGCTATAAGAAAGCCAAATTAAATTTTTATGAGCGTTTAAAATTCAAATTTTTAAACATTGGATATTCACTCGATTTCTCATGTAGCGATTTTCTTATTTTGTTGTAATTTAAAAAAGAATAACTGTAGATACATGAAAATTTCACTGAATGTTTATATTAGCATTTCCTATACACCATACAATTTTGAAAATATTTTGACTCTTTTTGAGCTGTTCACGGACATTAACAGTTTTCAATTTTTTTAGTTTTTTTTTCTATAAATATCAATAAAGTTTTATCCGTTGTGCCAAGAAGTGTAAAAATTTAATACAATAAGGCCTGATATATTGTTACAATAGCAATTGAAAAATATTTAAAAAAACATAGGCACAATTTTTTTTTTATAAACATTTAAAGATCGAGTAAATGTTCAACTTTTATATTATCTAAGGATTGAAAATTTAAAACAAGATTCCATGTAAGAAGTTTATTCTGTTACTAAAAAATCTAAAAAATATATAAGCACAGTTTATTTTTATAGTCATTTTAAGTTCAAATTTGGACGAAATTACATATTAAAAACCAAGAATAACTATTTTAGTTATTTGTTTGTGATTGTATAATATTATTTGTGGGTAATTGAAACTTCTAAAGTATACTATTATATATCTATTATAGTAATATAGTATCACGGTTTGTTATTGATGTATAACGGGTTATAAGTACCTAATGGATATTGTGATAAGATTAATTTGGAATTTATTATAGGTACAATTCTTTTTTTAATAACGTAGATAAGTATATAATATGTCTTATATCTAGACTGACATACCGTCTCCGCTTAGAATCGTTTTTCTTATACAATGATATTATATCATTGAATTCAAAATTAATACCATCCATTATACAGTGACCCCCTTGTAACCTACTATACAATACATCAGAGCGACTTTTTTAGTAATATAATTTATTATTTTATATAAAAATACAATAGGTTATATAAATTTGGATAAAAAAAAAGGAACGTTTAATGCAAATTAATACATTGGAAATTTTAAATTATCTGGACACTTAATTGGACCACTGGACCACTTACGTAGCACCTTGTTTTAGATCCTCAGCTATAAAAGTTGAACCTTTTCTACATTTTCAACTAGAAAATCATTTTTAAATTTAAAATTTGATAAATTTTGTCAACATTTGAACTTTAAATGCTTACAAAAAAAAACTGTCAATATATTTTTAATATTTTTCAATTGCTGTTGTAACAATATATCAAGAGCCTTATTGTATAACATTTTTACACTCTTTGATCCAACAAATATAATTGTATTGATATTTATAAACAAATTACAAAAAAATTGAAAATTGAAAATGCTCAAAACGAGTCAAAATAATTTTAGAATCAAGGTATATAGAAAATGCTAATGTTAACAATCAGTGAAAATTGCATGTATCTACAGTTATTTGTTTTCTAATTACAACTAAATAAGAAAATTAATTTTGTCAAAAACTGATTTAGCGTAAAAATTCCCGTTTTTCTTAATTTTTTTTTTGTGTTTTCCAGGGCTTTTAAAAACTACTAGAATTTTTTTAGTTTCGACCCCCCCCCAAGGTACCAACTAGATTCAGTTTTCAATCAGGAAAGGTGTTGTTAAAAAAAATTTAAGGATTTTACTGTCCTAAAAGGTGATGATAGACATAAATAAAAAAAGTAAGAAATAAAAAAACATACACCGTTGTAAAATTAATAAATTCATCACTCCTCTCGAAATCTAAAATTAAATTGTCAAATGTCTTCAAATAGCTCAAAAATAGATAAATTATTTTAAATTACGACAAATTAAAAAAATATATTTTGTCAAAAACTAACTTTGAGTAATAATTTATTTTTTTTCCCAATTTTATTTTGTTTTTTTCCGAATTTTCCCAATGTAATAAATGGCTAATATACTATCGTAATATGTATACATATAATATATAATATTTAATATATTAAATCGTTTGGCTCTGCTCAGAATCTAAAATATTAGAGTGAGTACTTATTATTTTTGATAAGGTCAATCGTATTAACAAATCGTAGATGTGCATACTTATCTAAATGTCGAACACTTTAAGTTATAGTAAATAAACGCAAGTATGAAAACAAAATTTAGTTTTAGAATAAACTTAATCTATATCAGACTGGGCCTTATTTAAAGGGTGGTTCGTGAGTGAAATACCCCACCCTGGCATGGTTATGGTCGAATTGCACTTATTTTAGTCGAACTGCACTAGGGTTTAAAAATGGTAATGCTTGAACTGCACTAGGGTACAGGTGGTGGGTGAACTGCACTTGGGCTCAAAAAAGCTACTTCAACAAAAATATCATGCATTTGAACTGACAATGATTTTAATTATTGGCGTAGTTAAAAATTATTGTTTTATAGTTTATACATAGTAAATACGACATACCATTGTCCATTATATTAATATTATATTATATATACTGCATAATTATAACATATTAAATTAAATCCTCAAATATTATTGTTGTCATTATTATAACTTTTTTCTTTTAGCTAATTTTAATAATTTTTGTAGTTATAATATTATATTATATATAATTTTTTTATAATTTTTTATTATTTCGTCAAATATTATTATAATAATAATAGTGAAGGTCCATAGTGGCCTAAAATTTTAACTCCTTTCTTTGAACGAGTGCAGTTCGACTACTACCTGATTTTTACCCGACTGCAATTCGACCATTATCTTTTTTGAACCCAAGTGCAATTCGACCATATATTTTTAGATAATAAGTGCAATTTGACTATCCCACCTAGCACATGTTTGTGGGCGACTACCTATAAAAAAGTAAAACGTCGTTTTTGAATATTCATTGAAAAATTGTAAATTATTAATACATATTATTATAATATAAGTACATAATATGTGTAATATTGGCTCTCTTTTGTTTTCGTGGAAACGTGGTAAATATTTGGTGTGGAAAAAGATAAACGTTTGGTGGAAATGAGTACCACCCATATAGATTTATATAATATTTATAATAAAATAGTTAAATATTATGTTGGTCTACTATTATTCAGTAAAAAAATGTATATGAACACAAAAATAATATTCTATAAAATAAAATATATCTGTGCCCTTAAATTGCCTACACAAAGCGCCGTCTTAACTTTATGTACCACGATAATGACAATAATATGATAATATTATAAGTTATAACACCGGTTGTAAATCTTTCACAGCTCTTTTAGAAAACCCGAAATTAAATCAGCATACAGAATCTGCATAGATTGAATTATAATGAAATTTTTATGATACATACTAATAAATGAGGGCATTTTAAGTTATTTAACACGTTCGTGGTCAGTTACTGTTATAGCAGTAATTTCAATTTTTTTCAATTCTTATGTAATGGGTCACTACTGCTATAGCAGTAATTTAGTATTTACAAACCCACAAAATCGGGCATTACTGCATTACTAGGCTCATGCAGTAATATTTCCAATGGTATTAAATGGAACTAAACATGTGACTGACCTATTATGATCACTCATAAGTTTTGGCACAGATAAATATAAAATTCTATTTTTTAATAATTTTTGTTGATATTTAAAAAACTTGAGTGATTTTCTGAGAAGGGTAAATTAATAATATAAAATGTGTGTTAATAGCAAGTTACTTAAATACCACGGATTACTCTACTAGTTTGCACGCCATCATATTGCACAGTTAGCAAATTTTTGATTAAACCATAAAAATGTATTAAAATTTTGATTTTTTAAAATATTTTATTACGGTAAATTCTTAGGCGTCACCCGAATCCGGGTGGATATTTAATTTCCACATTTTACATAGGTACCAATTACCAAGTTATACCCCTATATGGTATAAGCTATACGGTACTACACCAAATTGTGAAAATGTATCGTATATCGAGAAACGGGGCTAGGTGAATTTGGGTACATTTTGAAAGCGGTAAGTTGTTGAGTATAGAAAGTAGTAGGTAAGTTGGGTCCCAGCTATAAACTCACTTACCTACCTATTCAGCCCGATCATTTAAGTTTTTACCAAGGACATAGTATTATAATAAACACATAAATATTAATTTGTATAATTTATACAATGTATACCATATATTTATTTAGAACATAATATTATGAAATATAAAATTATATAATATTATATAATAATAATTATAAAATTTGACTTCTAATAAAGATTATTTTGGGTTCCATCACTGGTTGGCATCCCTCTTCATATTATTCAAAGTTATAATATTGTACATAAATTATCAAATTTACTTATTGTGCTATCAAACACAGATTGTAAAATATCTAATAATAAAAAAAAAAAAAAAAGAAAAAGATGATTAGATATTAAAAAAATGGAATGAACATACTAACTACTAAAACATTTGACATACTACTAAAACGTTTTATTTTCGGGACTTAATTTTTTCTATTACCTTTTGATGTAAACAATTTCTAATGGCGCGGTACGGGAGTAAGGCCGACTGCTTAGTGCTTGTGGTCTCCATCTGCGAATCTGCCTGAGCTCGGCGATCTCCTCTCTCCGCGAGCATACGCTCACTACTATACTTGCTCTGCGCCCCTCCAGGTTTTTCGGTGTACCTAAGCCACGCGCGGCATGTGCTACTTTAATACTTATGTATAACATAGACCTTTAGGTGTACGTCTATAGTGTATAAGTATCGGCGTACCCACGCACTACTTTATATGCGTATATCAGTATATTAAAAATTAATCTTTATCACGTCGAGCTCCGAGGCTTTTATCGGCGTGTAGCCCTAACCGAAAATGAGCCCAGTCGACTGTATGCGTCGACACCAGCGACCCGCGCTCTGAAATCTGTATATTATATCCTCAGCTGTATATAATTAATAATAATTAATCTTATTCTTGTATAAAAAATTAAAGAGTGGAAGTAAATAAAATGTAAATACCGATGGAGATAATTTTTATTACAAAAATAAATTCGATTAATTGATGATGAAAATAATTTTATATTTTTCAATCATTCTGTATATATTGAAGGAACGCGCATAAGTAATATTTATTGTATTAATTATTATTTCATTGATATTTTTTATAGTTTTATTTTCAAATTTGTGTATATTTATCTTCTCAATTCAAAATTATAAGTATGTATGAAATATTTAATGTACGATTTATATCGAAACGTGACTGTTGAAAACATTTTAATAATTTTTTTTTTTTTACTGTTGTGTAATATTGCAGGCTATTGACAAAATTAATACACGTATAAGTCTCGTTTCCATACAACAAGCCAAACACTTTATGGTAAATAACGATCGTTTACAGATTGACTTAAATACTTACAGTTCAAAATTACGATTTATTTTAAGACCAAATCAATGGTTGAATATCATGACTGAACAGCTCAATGAATCGCCTGAAAAGATTCAGAGCGAGGAACGACAGCCCAAAATCGTTGTAGACCCGATACTTCAGAGCTCCCATGGGTCTGACGATTTGGAAAATGATTATCAGTTTTTCCGAACGTTGGTCAAAAACAACATATTTCAATTGACTAACGTATCGGGTACAGCAGACACAATACAGTTTATACGTTCACTTGATGATATTATTAAACTATTATTTTGTTTTTGTGTGACGGCGTACGTCATTTGATGTAGACCAACGAGCGATTTCGACTTGGTTGCTCAGATGCGACGAGGAACGTGACAAGTCGTTAAAATGCGGGATCATCAAACTGATGCTGGTGTCGCTTCAGCACCCCAGCGGTAATATGAAATTATTCAGACACTCGGCCCCGAAAAACCTACCATATCTGATAAACACCCCGAATCACGTGAGTACCGATATCCGTATTAATACCTAAATATTATAATACAATAGTTCCTATATTTACATAAAATGTTCCGGTATCCGGACAGTTCGTCAAAACTCAAAAGCGACTATTTGTCATACAAAACAATTTGTAAAAACGTTTATATTATAATATTCATGATAATTCATCAAAATAACAGTTGGTCAAATAATCTTAGATCTGTTCGATTTGAAATTATTAACCACGTTTAGTTTATGCGTTGAATATAGATAATAATATAAAACTATTCCCTTATCTTCCAACTAGTAAACATGTACAGATGGTATAATAATGTACTGTCGTTTCGGTCGTGCAGGGTCGTGCTCACAGGGGGGGATTAGGGGGTCATATCCCCCCCATGAACTTTTTTTTATGCGTAATTTATAGTTCTTCGATAATGTCGGCTAACTAAAAAAAAATCTAGTGTTTGTATCTGTTCATCCCCCCCCCATAGGAAAAAGCTGAGCACACCACTGCGGTCGTGTAATATATTTTGACATAACTGCTGTTTGTTTTTTTACTATATTGTATAGTGATAAACTGATATTATAATTATGTATAATACATTATAATATAGATACTATTTATATGTTTTTTGAAAATCTGAGTTCAGTGCAACTTGAACAAAAGTTAACTATTAAATAAAAGAAGAAATTTGAACCATATAATTTTCTGAGGCTTAAGAGTTTAAGGCATGTTTTTGTCCTAAATACGCTAGGGGGGATACCTCAGATATGGTAGGTACCAATCAAGAAAACAAAAATTTTTATTTTTATTGATTTTGAAATTGATTAAACCATTAAAAATATGATACATTTTAATATAAATATGTTTCAAAAATACTAAATATAGCTATGGATAATGAGTAGTAAATACATATTAAAAGGTATTACATGAGCTATCGAATGGGACAAACAAGGTGATATACCCCTACTCGCATGGGTTTTAATCACTGCCGGCTTGTGTTAGTAACAAGACCTCGAAACCGATTCAAATTTGTACGGTTCCGGTTTTTTAGGACGGTTTTTGAATGTTTTAGTGTTTAGTTTGGATTTTTTAACGGGTTTTAAAAATGTACAATAACGATTTACTGTTATTAAATTCTTAGGTTTGAATTACGTTTTTTAAGCCCTGATCTGAAAGTTTTTGGTTATGGTTGTGGTTAAATGGTGTTGAAAAATGAAAAAGCCTGGGTTAAAAAAAAAAAACCGTTTCGAGTCCCGGTCAATTATTATTACCAATATGTATATATTATTATTATGATGATCCTTCACTTGAAATCGCGCTCACAGCTCAGACAATTGGTCGACGACATGTTGACAAACTTCGATTCCGACTCGGATGACGGCGACGACGAATCCGACTGTGGGTCGCCGTTAGGTTCCAGCTCGCGTCGCCCTCGCCGTCGAACCGTGTGCACGAGCACTGCAGCCGTGTCGTCGGACATGACCAGCATCGCCACAGCGTTCACCGACAACCGTAGCGTGCAAGCGTTCTACGCCAGGTCCGACCACGCGGTGAACACGTGGCGTCTGCCCGACAGCGTCCGGTTTCCGGTGCACAGCCGCTCGGCGTCCCGATGGGAGAAGGCGCTGACGACCGACTGCCCGCTGAATGCCAGGACGGCCGATTCCACTAGAACTGCGCAGAAAATCCCCAAAAAGGAATGGGATTTACCGGTCTTCTTACCAGAGTATGTTTCCCCTCGATATTGTAATATTATATAATACTGTCGTCTATTATAATTTTGCGCTGTGTGTTTACATTCCATATTGTATAGTGAAGGTAAACCGTGGAAAACTCCGAAATGGAATACTAGCGAATCCGATCTGTAAATAAATAAAATATAAAACATTAATTATCATCATCACGTACATAATAACTTTATCGTTACTTCTAGGAGTCCGATGGAACGAAAATGTCGTGGCTTAATGTCGGAGCAAATGTCACCAGAGGGCAGCGCATTTCGGTGGTACGAGCACAGCCGGTTGGACGGCAGCTTGAGACCTACGCCTGAATTTTGTATCGATAAGTACGTACAAAACTGTCATACTGAACTGTTATACTTGTAATACATTATATCTATATAGTATATGACTAGAATTTCGTTAATTATAGTGACGTTTGTGGTCAAGGGAAAAACCAACCGGAATTGGACGAACGAGCCATTAACGTGACGAACAAAATATATCCAGAACGTGTTCAAATCGTCGTCGATCCACGTCTTATCACTGAAGTGCTCGGTACAGACCCATCTGACCGACGACAATCGTGACAACTAGGATGATACCGCAAAGACGTATACAAAAAAAAAACAGATAGCCGACAGTTAGGGATTCTAAGTAGTTTATAATTTATACTTCATTCGACAGTTATTCTTCAATATTTTCCCAAGTGTTTTTAAACGCTCTCAGAACCTCGCAGCCAAATTAAGAGCATATTAAGTATATAAACAGAGAAGATGATATATAGAATTTTCCGGTGCTTTTCAATTGGAAAAGTATATAAGTTTTACATTGAATATGGTCGAGAACTTTTCAATTAAATACATTTTACATTTTTTAAAGTTTTAATTTGCGTATTGTTTTTTTTTGTCTATAAATGTCAATTAAAAATTTAATTCAAGGCTCCTGATATATTGTTACAATAGCAGTTGAAAAATATTAAAAATACAACCGTACAGTTTTTTTTTATAAGCATTAAAGTTCGATTTTCGACAACATTTATCAAATTTAAAATTAAAAAAATGATTTTTTAGTTAAAAATTCATAAATGTAAAACTTTTAAGCTAAGGATTAAAAATTTAAAACAAGATTCATGATGAGAAATAAACGTTTGATCACGTCGAATTCATATAGGCATAAATAATACGTGTGTTTTAATTATTATTTAGATTTAATATACGATGGCGTCAATCCCTCATAGTAATCCAAAAACGAACAGCGTAAACACTCGTTTTTCTAACCACAATGCCATTATAATTATATAATAATAATTGAAGAGCTTGCTGGCAGTAACCAGATAAGTCCATGTTTTTCACAAATGCACTTTTTTATCGAATAAAACAAATAAAAAAATTCTCCATAAGTGGGTTCAACAACCAGATTAGACTGTTATATAAAGTATAGTTTTTAGAGTAAATGGACTTATCTGGTTTTCGTGTTTGGGTGCAAGAATCAGATAAGTCCGGACTTATCTGGTTTTTCCATTTCATCATAAAACTTAAATATAAGTAGTATGCATATAGCATACATTCTACAAATTGATTAATGCCAAATATAGTTTTCTTTTATTTAATACTTAAATAATTAATTTTGCATGCAAATAAAAATTTGAAAATTGTGGAGAAAAAACCAGATAAGTCCATGTTGTGTCAAGTTCATTAAATTTTTATAAAATGTATATAGAACTTAGACAAACCTGCAGTACGCATACATGACCAGCATCTTTCAAAGATTCAAAATATTTTCAAACCGTTAAAGTGTTTTTTGTTCATCCTGAAAAGTTTCAAAAAGTTGACTTATCTGGTTATTGCAGCAAGCCTTTCAATTCACCTTTTGCGACGCTTGAAGAAATAACCGTCGGCTAACCGCTAAGTGCATTTTCATATTTAAATATTATTTTAGTAAGCTACATTTTCGATTAATCAAGGTACTACTAATATTTAAGATTCTAGAATTATGATCTGTATTATTCAAGAGCGTATGATGTGAGTCATAATATTGGATGTATTAAATTTGAATTCAATAATATATATTTAGGTACATATGAAAAACGATTCAAAGCAAAAAAGGTGTGTCATTTTCCCAACGCAAAACTACTGGGAATTTTAGATTTTTACTTCTTAACAGTCCCAACTAGATCCAATTTACTACTAGGAACCACCCTTCAAAGTTGAAAATCAAAGCATTATTTATTACCAACTATTTATCAAGTATACAGGCCTTTTTTTGCATAGTATAATTTTTATAATCATTAATTATTTTAATTGAAAACAAATAGAAAAATATTGATTAGAATACAATTTAGTTACATAATTTATAGATAATATTAAAGGTTATAATAATTACATAACCCATTATTGTTCTTTCTTTCTCTTACCTACACACTGCATGGTAATGTAATAATAATATACACACGTTATAAATCATATTGCTACACGAATCAAACTGAAACAATTAAATTGAAGTTTCACCGATGCGTGTGACTTCTTTTTTGATCTTTTCTGTTCACTATTCGAGACTCGTATTTAACTTTAAATGTCTCCACGTGTTTGTCCGCACGCATTTTGAACTGGTGGTATTTATTATTAAAATGATAATTTTGAACCAGTCTATACGAAAATAACTTACAGAAACCTAAAAATTCAAGACGTTTTGCACTCATTAAGATACCTACTGTCGCATGATCCACATAATATTATTCTACAGTATAAAAATATTTGTTTTTGAGATTATGTACTTCTTCAAATCTAAAAAAAAATCGTAATAACTCAATATCTGTTTGCATCCTTTGTGAAAACCACGCATACTTAGTATACAAGGTGAATTTTCTTCAAGACACTGGAGAGCAGTGGTTGCCGAACAATCGATGGCGATCGACTGGTCAATATATTTAGGGGAATATTGGTCGATATTATAGAAAACTAATATTTAATCAAATTTGTCGATCACGTTCGTAATCTTATGAAGTTTAACACTTAAATAACACACATTTACGCTATATATATATACAAAGTAAAGCATATTTATCAGCTAAGGGAACCATACAATTTTCCAATGTAGAAATAACGAAAGATGAACATTAAGGTACAATTTATTATTATGCTGCATTGTAATAACATTATGACTTATGAGTGACATACCTAAACAAATAGTGGTAGATCACTAGATACTTTTTAATGTGGCTTACGTGTTGGAAAATTTTGGCTACCCCTATACTGTATAGAGTGTATAGACTGTAGTACTCCACAGTACATTTTTATTCCTTTCAATTTCTAAAAAACTCATTAATCAATCTATAGTATTTAAATCTCCTGTAAACAGTTCAAATACAACAATAAATGGAAATGAATTTCTAAAAAATAGATGTATGTAAACATAACTCAAAATCATTGATGGTTATCATTTATCAGTTACCAACAAGTATACAATTTAAATTCTAATTTTCATAATAATTCATATAACATAGACTATCAAAAAACAACAACCACAGGGTATGTCATGCTATATAGTATATTATAAGTGCATAGGCTTAGGACGAAGCTAACATTTTCCAGGTACCTATGTTCACTCTGCTCATCTATTACCTTAAGCCAGAGGTCGCCAACCAGTTAATCACGATTTCAAATTTTTAAAATAACTTAATTTTTGGAAACGGTTGATGACCTCTGCCTTAAACGATTATAGCAGTTATAACTTATAACTCATTAGCTCTAATATTCGATTTGTATCTATCGAAAAGTACCTACTCTAAAACCTGATTTAATGTGATTATACTGCATCAGAGACATTGGCTGTTTTAACACAAATAACATAATCAAATATAAACTACGGTCAAAACTCAAAACGTCCTATGACGACTCAAAATTCTGTTTATTTTACTTGAAATAGTTATATTGAATTTCATTATTACTTAGTAGTATTCTGGTACTCAATAGTATCTAATCAAGTGCTGATGTAATAGGCACAGAAATTACAAATGATAAATTCACCATAAAATTATCTTTATTAATTGGGATTTTACAATTTCGATTTGCTAACGATAGCAGTGATAAAATATTATTTTAGGTTTTATAGTTACCCAATAAATGGCGACATTGCACGATTTTCACTTGTTTTATATGATTTGGGCTCATAATATGGATTCGAGCACAAATGGGTTGTACCGTTATATTTAATTAATTAATTTCATAATATAATTTATACTTGTATATATGAAATTCGAACGACCGTATATAAAATAATTAAAATACGCAATTTACGGTCTTTTGCGACAAGGCTTTTCTGATTGTATACTTAAATATGGATTAGGACCTTACATAGGTACCTATAGAAATTAATAATATCTACATGTTATATTGATGTGTTTGTCGCGTTTTGAAATATCAATATTATTTTAGTTATATAACACATAGGTAGGTACATAAGTATACAGGTAGTATATTATTGATAAAACTTATTGGATCAGCAGCAGGTACCTATACATATACCTACCTACATATTATTATATACTACTTATGTATAAAAAAACTGTTCATATACTTGAAGTTGTGTTATTGCATTATATTTATATACGTATATAATAGACGAAGAAATAGTTATAAATGTTGATTATTGGGTTGACGTGTGGCGCGCCTAAATACCGCTGCAGGTATATTTTCATAAGTAGTTTGCCTAACTAATTATTTTCTTGAAGTTTGTGTTTATCGTTTATTTTTGATTCGTCGAAAAATACGTCGATTGGTTTTAACGTTGTTTTATTAAAGTATTAGATTCACGTTTTGGAATTAATTCGGCCAATCGAATGGCTACAAAAGTATCAGGCTCATGCACGTGGTGTGTTGTAACTTGTATTATCCATAGGTATAGGTGGATAATATAATATAATATTATGTCGATAAAACACGTTAAGCGCGTCATACATAACATGCGTATACACATTATACGACAAACGGCAATTATTGAGATTGGACTCATTTACATAATATTCTGAATACCTATATAGGTATACGATATTGTAATGTAGACAGTCTCCTGTTATTAATCGAATTTACTCAGGTTTAAGGATAATTTTGAATGTCCACACAGAGTGTTAAAATGTGCTGCAGGTGTAGATTTATATAATACCTACCTACTTAACGTATATATATATATATATTATATATTATAAGCACGCCGAGTACACAGCGAGTATTTCAATATTTGAGCAAGGCACCTATATTTTATATTATATATATATAGCTACATATATAGGTACGCTGCCTTTATATATATATATATATATATATATATATATATACCCACTCGTTTGATGTCTACGAAGTACATAATAATATTTAGTGTCTGCGAGCGCGCACAACCGTCGTAGATTATAATAATTATTAATACCCGCGATTAAGTTGTAATAGGTATATGTCACTATGTAAGTAAATATTACTATCGGTTTTCTAACAGGAACACATTTTTTACGTCAATAATAAAACAACACTATGTACGTAATAAAGCATGTACCTACATATTATTATTTTACATACTAATCTATTAAATACTTAAT